AATATACAAAGCAAGTGATGCACAATGCAATTGCTCACCACCCGCCGACCGATGCCCAGCCAGGCCCCGAGCAGCGGCCCCCCCGGCCAGCTTTCCCCAGTTTATGTACTGAGCACGACGTCACATGGTATGGAATGGCCCTTTGGCCAGTTTGGGTCAGCTGTCCTGGCTGTGCCCCCTCCCAGCTTCTTGTGCCCCTCCAGCCTTCTCAGTCGGTAGAGCATGGGAAGCTGAAAAGTCCTTGGCTAGTGTAAGCACTACCTAGCAACAACTAAAACATCGGTGTGTTATCAACATTATTCTCATCCTAAATCCAAAACACAGCACTGTACCAGCTACTAGGAAGACAATTAACTCTATCCCAGCTGAAACCAGGGCAACATAATAAATATACATGAGGTTTTATGTAGGTGGTATCTTGCTAAGCAGATTTCTAACGCAAAATAATCTTCCCCAAGTTTTATAAATGTACCTACCTGTCACATTGTATTTGCTGAATAAAAACACTGTGGAAGAGGTAGGTGAGTATAACAAATTTGATGATGATATAGGCCTATTCTTTGTATTTAAGACTAATATATGCTTATTTTCCACCCACACTCTTAAAATATGAGGATGATGGAAAAGCACATACGTGGTTGCAAAAGGAAATTGGTCCAAAAGTCTGTTTCCAATAACGTTTTGATGTGTCTGAATATTTAAGCTTGTCTCATTTAAAAGAGTTATCCTGCCTTTTTCCTTTCCCACTCCTCTTAAGTTTTTCCCATCATGTGCAGACAATCCTCACATTTCTACTGTAAGACTACTTTAATACATGACAATACAAAAGAAAGCTATTGCTATGAGTAAATTAAGAAACACCTTATCTTCTGTAACCTGATTTACAATTTATACTTCAAAATTTTTAGATCAGATATTCTGAAATTTAAATCTGAAATTTAAGAAAAAGACAGCTTTCTCATAAGCTTTTCCATCTTTCAAGAAGTGCCAAATTTCAGGAAACAGGAGAAGGGATTAAAGTATATATCCCATCTGAGTATTACTAATGATAAAAATATAATTTTTAATTATAAAATTTTATATCCTCTAATTAAGAGCAACCCTCTGCCAGTGACTTTTACAATCTTAGGTAAGTCCTAATTCTTTCTAATGACTAACAAGTTGAATATTTTGAGAAAACAAAGAAAGCTCAAGACAACCAGTCCTACTTACGCATGTGCTAAAGCTATTAATGGTGCAAAAACTAGTTACTGGACATAATGCAGTAACATCAGGTCATCTTCAGAACTGTAGTGATTCTTTCCCCAACTCCCTTCTCCCTAGAAATTGTTATATACAAAACAAATAACTAGCCTGCATTGTAGCACCACCCTGTTTTTCTTTGTCATATCATGGGAAAGTCAGGTCAGTCAGAGAAATAATAAATAGAAGGAAGAATTTAATGCCATGAATGAAAACTTATCAATTAGCTGTAACAGCAAACCACTTAATGATTAGCTCCAGTGACTACAGTTCACAACGGTAATTATACTAGATTACAAAACACAACATATACTTTCTATCCTGCAAAAGGTTCCAATCTATTTAGTATGGAAAATATGCACAATTTAATGTTCTCATTACCTCACAATAGAAATATCTTCAAAAGACATCATAGGGAAAAGAAGGCACTTGACCTAACAAAATATTAATTAACAGTACAGAAAAATTCCCAATGCTATTCCTTATTTAATTGCAGCTATGCAGATATGAGGAAAAAAAAGGCAAAAAGAAAAAGGAAAAAAGAAAAAAGAAAAGCTTGTATTTTGCCTAGCAAGGGAAAAGAAGGCATACGAATTATCTTCCAAAATCTTTCCCAAACACAGTCTTAAAAGAAAGAGAGAAGGCAGAAGGCAGGACTCACCAAGAGTGAGTGGACTAGCCAAGAAATCTCCTTCGGTCACAAACAGAAATCGAGTTCAGTTGATCATACACTACAGATACGTTCTTTTGAATAAAAGGTGCAGTTAGTTGCATACTGTGTTATCTTGAGACAATGATGTTAAGGTGCTGGACTAAAAAATGAACTGGATTATTTTAAAATACAACACACAGGTGGCAAAGTCACCATCTTGAGGAAATCCCCGAGTCAAGGGCAAACTCAGCTGATGCCATGAAAAATGCAAAGAGAATTACCTTTTTTTTTTTCTTTTTTCCCCATGTCACTGAAAGTTGGGACACGAATCTGCCTAATCACAATATTAAAGCCTTTGGTCACAAGCTGCTGGAGTTCAGTGGTGGATACCCTGCCCAGGAGACCATCTACTTCAGAAGGTAACTTGCCATGTCCTTTGACAATGAGGCCTGGGTGCAGATGACATTTGCTGCACGCCTAGGCTTGATGTCGTGCTTGCCTTTGCTGCCTCAGAGGCCGGACCAAAGGAATGAGACATGGAGCCATGGGCAAAGCTCCTGCAGGATTACCTGTATCAGACTGGGAATGACTCAGCCCAGCTGGGTCAGCACCAATTCCTTCCCTAATAGATTTATGATACCAGTAGTAGGTATTCCTCTTGCCTCGTGAACTCGGAATCAAGCTGATATACAGGTAATGGATGATCCTGTCTGGTCAGGCACTTGAGCTCACATTAACATTAACATATTAACATAACTTTTACTAACAAGAGCTAGCAAAGAGTCTGAAGTCTAAGCTGCTTGGTGAGAGTCAAAGCAAAAGGTGTGAAAATGGGACTTGGCTATCTGAAATAGCTCCTGTTCTATCATACAGCATGTCAAATTCATGTCAGTGCCAGAAGGGATCCATTCACACATTTAATGCAGTTCCCAGTGCACCAAATCCAGCTGCTTGTATTTTGTGCTAACATCTACAACAAAACCCGTGAATTACATATCATATTATCTGTTCTCTTTATATGTAAAAAGGAAAACACAAAAAGTAAATGATCACAGCTAAACAGATACAACTCCCCCAAGAACTAGACAAAAAAAAAAAATTCAAATAAACTAATTGTGGTTGCGAGGCATCTTGTATCTCACATGAAGCTTCATTAAGATCTCCTTGGTACCATCCGTGAAGACACGCAGAATTTGAAGGCTCTCTTGGTCTTCTGCTAGCACTGCCAGCCCCCTCCCAGACTGTACCTCTCTGCTGTAACAGTAATCCACTCAACCATTACCTTCACAGTTTTTACACCAGTTAAATTAAAGAGAAAACTAATAACTTGGGGCTTCCTTGATACCAGGACAACTTCTAGTCCAAGCACAGTGTTTCCAGGGACAGCACATCCTATTAACGTCTTCCTTTTTCTCCAGATTTTAACACAAATAAAATTTCTCCCTTCAAAGCTAGAAGCGGACAAAGTAAGGAGAATTAACAGAAATAGACTGAGAATAAAGATCACTTGGCAGCTTTGACTGCATTAGTGTCTTTATTTGGTGATACTTCTGGGAATAAGGGTGCAGTGCCAGCAGGACAGTGTTTCTGGCACTGTACTGATCACTCAGACATGTTTCTGGGAAAAGTCTAAAAAATACTGGCCCCAACAGGTGAGTGAGTTCCCTTTGCTTGAAATGTCCTCTGCTATGCCAGTAAAAACCACATATTTGAATCTACTGAAGCCTCTGAAAACTGTTTACTTCATAAAAATTAAGAAAAAAAAGATACACTTAGAAGTAGGTGATTCATTTTCTGGAAGAGAAGAAACACTTCAGTTTACGCCAAGATAACTTTCACCTCGCACACACAGCTGGTGACTCACAGCACACAGGCACATCCTAAGTGGAGTCACAGACATCTCATTCCAGCTTTAGTCTTTTCTTCCGCAACCCTCAAAACACTCTCTTATACACAGCTGCTGCCCAAATTAATCATCCGAACCCTGGTCCCAGCAATCTGTGCCCATGAGACCGAGAACCCTGCTTTTCCACAAGCCAGGAGGTTTACAAAGAAAGTTTCCATGCAAAACTATCTCCTCAAAAGCTTAGGAGACAGCGGATTGCTTCTGCCTCTAGATTCCACATTGGATCAAACCCCAAGGAGAAAAGAGACGTGGCTGGATAAGAAAACTCGTGCTGTACTGTTACCAGAACAGACAGCACGAGCCATGACACAAAGCATAAGATACGTGGCCATTAGGAAGATGCTATTCCTGACCTCTGTACTGTCTCTTACTCCCCTTCAGCCTCCATCTACCTTTCTTCCTTGCACATCCTTCCTGCAGGTAATCCTCATCCTTCCTCTTTGCCCTGGAAACTTATCAATCATTTCTGTCAAAATATCAGCTAGAACATATAAAAAAACTGATGTGACATAATTAGGAGAGTGCAATAGAAAAAGAGAAATTATAAAATACTAATCCTTGACGTATTTTACACTGATGTATAAGTCATCAATACCTTTTGTATAGATCAAGTTCTGCAGACTCTAAGCACTGTAAATGTCTCTCTATAGTTGTTTAACCATTCTCAGGTGCGTCAGGTCACTGAGCCTTAAATCAGTTCAAAAATACTTACAGTTTAAATGGCTCAAATTTCTAACAACCCCATTAGGAAAGCTCTTAACCAAACACTCATCTTCTAGCATATAATGGAGTCTTACTAACTTCCAGTACCCTTTTGACAGGGTCAAGTCATGTAAT